CTCTGCCCTGTCCCCTCACCACGCTGACTCCCCCCTCCCGCCCCAAGCGCTGGGCGGCACGCACCTTCAGCAACCAGACGCTCGTGCTGGACGAGACCACCACGTCGACGGGCAGCGCGGGCATGCGGCTGGTGGTGCGGCGCGGGGTGCTGCGCGACGGGGAGGGCTACGTCTTCACGCTCACGGTGCTGGGCCGCTCAGGCGAGGAGGAGGGCTGTGCCTCCATCCGCCTCTCCCCCAACCGGCCGCCGCTGGGTGGCTCCTGCCGCCTCTTCCCGCTGGACGGTGTGCGCGCCCTCACCACCAAGGTGCACTTCGAATGTGTGGGTGAGTGTGGTGGCCGGGCAGGGGGCGCTCGGGGGTGCCGCGGGGGCCCCCCCGGTGACGTTGTGGCCCACAGGTTGGCGTGACGTGGAGGACGCAGACGCCCCACTGCTGTACGCCCTGTGGCTACGGCGCTGTCGCCAAGGCCAGTGTGAGGAGTTCTGCGTCTACAAGGGCAGCCTGCCAGCCTACGGGGCGGTGCTGCCGCCCGGCTTCCCGCCGCGCTTTGCCGTGGGCCTGGCCGTGCTCGTGCAGGACCAGCTCGGCGCCGCTGTGGTTGCCCTCAACAGGTGAGCCTACGTGGCCAGCGGTGCAGAAGGGACTATGGTGCCCCGACGGCTCACCGCGGCCTCCACGCAGGTCCCTGGACATCACACCCCCTGAGCCCCCTGGCGGCCCTGTGGGCCTCACGCCCTGGCTGCACAGCCTAACGGAGAGCAAGCTGCCTGGGCTGCTGCGGCAAGCCGACCCCCAGCACGTCATCGAGTACTCGCTGGCCCTCGTCACTGTGCTCAATGAGGTCAGTGCAGCAGGCCTGGGTCTGCTGAGCAGAGGGGGCAGGCAGGGGGCCTCCCGACAAGAGAGCCTGCTGCAGAGCTATTCCCCGGCTCCTGGCAGGGGAACCCCGCGTTGTCACTGGGGCCATGGCTCCTGCCGTTGGCAGCCAGCATATGCAGGGTCCCCTTGTCAGTGTGCTCCCCGTGACACTGGCAGAGGGTACCAGAGGCATCTGATTGGCCCTCGAAGAGACAATCTTGGTTCTCCAGGCAGGGGAAGGGGACTCGGAGTGACCGAGCACACACTGACAGCCCCTCTCCACTCACCCCAATCCTGCAGTACGAACAGACCCCGGCAGCCGCGGCGGAGCCCACCCACGAGCGGCAGCTGCGTGCTCAGATGCGCAGGAACATCACAGAGACCCTGGTGTCCCTGCGAGTGGACACGGTTGACGACATCCAGCAGATTGCGGCCACGCTGGCCCAGTGCACGGTAGCCCCCGCGGCCCCCACCCAGCCCCTGTGCTGTCCTCAGCAGGCCGGAGAGGGCCTGACCAGGGCCCACAGGTGCACTGGGCACAGTGCTCTGTGAGCAGCCCAGAGCGTGAGAGCAGCCCCAGTGCAGAGGGCCCACCCTGGCCTCCCTCTGACCCCACCACAGCTGGGTGGTCTTGGGGTGGGGCGCTGTCCCTGGGGTTTAGCGCAGGCAGTGAGGCTGACCCGAGTCCTGGGGTGAGGGGAGCGAGGAGGGCTCCAGCTGGGTCCAGGGGCCAAGTTGAGACTCCATCAGCTCCTTAGCCCTGGCACCCGGCCCGCTCCTTGTCTTGTGGCAGCCTGGGTGGGTGAGGGCAGGGCCCAGGAACCAGGTTTAGGCTCCATCAGAGCCTCGGTGCCCACCCCGCTCCTTGTCCTGTGACAAACCCTGGTGGGCGCGTCTCCCAGCCCCGGAGAAGCCTGCCGTTAACAGAGGGTGGTGGGAGCCCTGGGGGCCGCTCAGCAGGGCACATCAGGGAGGCCGGGAGGGTAGCGAGGCTGTAGGGTGTGAGCGCCGGCTCCTGGCAGGTGTCCAGCAGGGAGCTGGTGTGCCAGCCCTGCCTGAAGAAGACGCTGCACAAGCTGGAGGCCATGATGCGTGTTCTGCAGGCCGAGACCACTGAGGGCACCGAGACACCCACCGCCATCGCTGACAGCATCCTCAACATCACGGGTGTGCATTCCAGCTCCTGCCTCAGCGCCCTCCAGGGACCCCCAAGGCCCGCCCAAGTCCCCTCACCCCCTAGATAATCCCCCGGCCTTCCCCGCACCTTTCTCCTCGGCTCCTTTTAAGCTCTCACTGCCGCTGGGTCTCTGCAGGCGACCTCATCCACCTGGCCAGTGTGGACGTGCAGAGCCCACCGCCGGGGGAGCCGGGTGTGCTGGGGGCGGCGCGGCCTGCGCTGCTGGTGGCCTCCCGGGCTTACAACCTGTCCTCGGCACTCATGCGCATCCTCATGCGTTCCCGCGTGCTCAACGAGGAGCCCCTGACGCTGGCCGGTGAGGAGATCGTGGCCCAGGGCAAGCGCTCGGACCCACTGAGTCTGCTGTGCGCGGGCCACTCTGCAGGCCCCGACTGCCACTTCTTCATCCCCGCCGCCTTCAGTGGGGTGCTGGCCGGCCGCAGCGACGTAGTGCAGCTCATCCTCCTCGTCGACTCCAACCCCTTCCCCTTCGGCTACATCAGCAACTATACCGTGTCCACCAAGGTAGCCTCCATGGCCTTCCAGACCCAAGCCGGCGCCCAGATCCCCATTGAGCGGCTGGCCTCCGAGCGTGCCATCACTGTCACGGTGCCCAGCAACACCGGCCTGGTCGGCCCAGGCCACAGTGTGCCCGCCGCTGCCACTGCCATCATCCCGCCACAGGCCTCGGTCAGCGCCGAGGTTGCCCCGGAGAGCAGCAACCCTGCGGCCAGGCTGCACCTGCAGCTCACGTTCACAGTGCTCGACGGTGGGTGTGGGGTGAGGCACGGGGGAGGGGTGTGCAGGGCAAGGAGAGTGGGAACAGCGCAGAGGCAGGTGGGCTCCTGCGGCCCCTGCCCGGGCCCCGGGTTGCATGATGGGAAGGGCTCAGGAGCCCCCAGGCAGCTCCCGGGCGGGCTTCCAACCCCGCCGTCTGGGTGCCCCCAGAGAGCTATCTATTGGAGGAGCCTGAACCCTACCTGGCCGTGTACCTGCACGTGGCGGCCCAGCCCAATGAGCACAACTGCTCGGCCAGCCGGCGGATCAGTCTGCAGGCACTGGCGGGCGAGGACCACAGGCCCTATACCTTCTTCATCGCCCCGGGGTGAGCTGAGTTCTGGGACGTGAGGCTGCCCATGGGCATGACGTGGAGGAGACTGGGGCGCGGGGTGGGTGCGTGCTGCTGTTAGAGGGCTGTGGGCGGTACCATGAGTGGGCCCGGTGGGATCCGGCCATGACACTTCCCACTCTCCCAGGACCGGAGAGCCGGGCGGGAGTTACCACCTGAACCTGACCAGCCACTTCCGCTGGTCGGCACTAGAGGTGTCTGTGGCCGTGTACACGTCGCTGTGCCAGTACTTCAGCGAGGAGGACATGGCGTGGCGCACGGAGGGCATCGTGGCTCTGGAGGAGACCTCGCCCAGCCAGGCCGTCTGCCTCACCCGCCACCTCACCGCCTTCGGTGCCAGCCTCCTCGTGCCCCCCAGCCGCGTCAGCTTCGTCTTCCCTGTGAGTGGCACCCGCTGTGCTCCCAGCCTCCTGCGTGGGGCGGGGGGCCTGGGGGAGTCCAGCCTGACGCTCTGCAACCCCCTCAGGAGCCGGCCGCGGGCATGAACTACGTGGTCCTGCTGACGTGTGCCGTGTGTCTGGTGACCTACGCGGCCATGGCTGCGGTCTTGCGGAAGCTAGACCAGCTGGACACGCGCCGGGTCCGTGTTATCCCGTTCTGCGGGAAGGCCGGCCGCTTCAAGTACGAGATCCTAGTCAAGACCGGCTGGGGCCGAGGCTCAGGTGAGCGGTGGGCCGAGGCTCAGGGGAGCGGTGGGCCGAGGCTCAGGTGAGGGGTGGGCCGAGGCTCAGGGGAGTGGTGGGCCAAGGCTCAGGTGAGGGGTGGGCCGAGGCTCAGGGGAGCGGTGGGCCGAGGCTCAGGTGAGCGGTGGGCCGAGGCTCAGGTGAGGGGTGGGCCCAGGCTCAGGTGAGGGGTGGGCCGAGGCTCAGGGGAGCGGTGGGCCGAGGCTCAGGTGAGGGGTGGGCCGAGGCTCAGGGGAGCGGCGGTTGTCATTTGGGGAGCCACCCCCGATGATGACAACGATGGTGATGTGACGTGAAACGTGCCAAGCGCTCATGCTGTTTGCGTGTTAGTCCTTGTAACAACCTCGTAACATACCTCCTCACCACGTACATGCTGTTGCTGCTCCTGAGAACGGACAGCGCCGAGCTTGGTGGCCTCAGTGACGGCAGGTGCCTCGCTGTGTGCAGGTGTGCCGGCCGAGAGACTGACTCTGTGGGGCAAAATCAAGCAGAGTGAGCTTGCTAACCAACAGGGAAGTTGGGGTGCCCCGCGACCTTTAAAAATTGCTTTCAAAGGATTCAGGACTCTGTCGATTACCAGTGTACAGAGAGGTGAACACAGTTCAGTTACGGGTATTTACTCAGTACACTGACTTTGAACACTAGAGGCATTTCGTGAAAAGTGTAGTGAGAGAAGTTTGAACGGAGCTTACTGTCTTCTCACGTGACTCCCAACAAGGAGCAGGCTCTCTTCTGGGCCCCAGCGAACCGCCACGTTCTTTTCTAAGTTTGTATCCTTTGCACTTTCTGTGCAGTGAAATGTCTGCAAGAGTTCTGTAAGGTGAAGGAAGTTCTTTGCTGGTGTCATTTTCCCTGGGACGTCTTCATCCTTTCTGTCACATTGCTTTCCTCTTCGTGTGAATGAACCCCCTCTGCTAGGTTCCTCTGGCTGCACGTCTCGGGTGTTGGACGGCAGCAGCGTCCCCCTGGACGGCGGTTTCTCCTCTGAGCCCCACTCGTGTTCCATCTGGGTTGCTCTCCCGCATTGCCACTTGTTGTTTCTTTGCTGCCCTTTCATCCCCCTTGGTCAGTTCCTCTCCCAGTGACCCATCTAAGACACCCAGTGGGTTTGTCTGGGGAGACGAGGAGGCTGCACTACGACACATTTTGCTGTCTGTGCGTGAGCGGGGGAGAGTGCACAGTGACCAGTCACAACAGACTGAAAGGAGCGAGGTGATTGGCCACTGACTATGACATGCATTTGTTACTTGCATCGCCATTGGTGGACTGGAGAGTGGATGGCCAAGTTTGTACTTTGTGCAGTTCCTCACAGTTAGCAAACTGTGGTGCTGGGATTTGCGCCGTGCTGTGGGGCTGGCATTTGTGTAACCAGCATGCGTGTCAGAGCTGCAAGAGCAAGGGCTGCCTGTGCTTGTTGACTGACTGAAGGTTGACAGATGAAGCGATCTGCCTGCGGTCCCCCATGTTGGGGCAGCAAACCCAGAGCCCTGTCCCCTTCCACCCACCATCCAGGCACCACAGCACACGTGGGCATCATGCTGTATGGGGTGGACAGCCGCAGCGGCCACCGGCACCTGGACGGGGATGGGGCCTTCCACCGCAACAGCTTGGACATCTTCCAGATTGCCACGCCCCACAGCCTGGGCAGCCTGTGGAAGATCCGCGTGTGGCATGACAACAAAGGTCGGGGCGCCACACCACCCGGCCCTGCGCCCCACCCCCGCAGGGCTCAGCCCCGGCCCTGACTACCCCTGCCTGTCCCCGCAGGGCTCAGCCCCGGCCCTGACTACCCCTGCCTGTCCCCGCAGGGCTCAGCCCCGCCTGGTTCCTACAGCACATCATTGTCCGGGACTTGCAGAGCGCCCGCAGCACCTTCTTCCTGGTCAATGACTGGCTGTCGGTGGAGACGGAGGCCAATGGGGGCCTGGTGGAGAAGGAGGTGCTGGCGGCAAGTAGGGCTCCCCCTCCCGCCTGCCCGGGCTGGGTGAGGGTGGGCGCCCTGTACGGCCTCCTGCAGCCCCTCCCACTTCCAGGCGACGCGGCCCTGCGGCGGTTCCGGCGCCTTCTGGTGGCCGAGCTGCAGCGTGGCTTCTTCGACAAGCACATCTGGCTCTCGCTGTGGGACCGGCCGCCACGCAGCCGCTTCACTCGCGTCCAGCGGGCCACCTGCTGCGTCCTCCTGCTCTGCCTCTTCCTGGGTGCCAATGCAGTGTGGTACGGGGTCGTGGGAGATGCTGCCCACAGGTGGGTGCCTCCGAGGTCAGCAAGACCTCCCCTGCCCACCTCCCTCCCGCCCCCCCAGCTCCCTCCCACCCCCCAGCCTCACACGGTGCCCACTCTCTCCCCTCCCCCACCACCTCCCCCAGCGCACAACTCGTGTCCAGTGTGATCCCGCTGAGCGTCGACACGCTCGCTGTCGGGCTGGTGTCCAGCGTGGTCGTCTACCCCGTCTACCTGGGCATCCTGTTTCTCTTCCGGATGTCCCGGAGCCAGGTGGGCCGGGGCCGTGGGCCGTGGATGAAGTGGTGTCGGGGCTGTGCCATCTTCTAGGACAGAACCAAACCGAGTCAGGGAACCACAGACAAGATCAACAAAAGTGATAAAGCTTTAGCTAGACAGACAAGAGAAAAAAGGGAAAGACACAAATTTCTACAATTAGGAATGAAGGCGGCATCAATACTAACCTTACAGAAACAAAAAGGAGTGTCGGGGACTGCTGTGAGCAACTGTATGCCAACAAGTTAGAGACCTAAACAGAAACGGACAAGTTTCTTGAAAGACACGAACTGTTAGAACTGACTCAGGAGCAGTAGGTCATCTGAGCGGCGCTGTAACCAGAAAAGAAGTGCCCCAGAAATGCAGCTCCCCGCAGGCACACCTAGGCTAGGGGGCTTCACAACTGAATTCTGCCAAGCATTTGAAGAAAAGTTAATACCAATCCTTCACAAACTTTACCCAAAAACAGAAGAGGAGGGAACATTTCCCCACTCGCTGTCTGGGGCCAGCATTGCCTGATAACCAAAACCAGACAGAGACATCGCAAGGAAGGGAAACCACAGACCCATTTCCCTCCTGAATACAGACACACAACCCTCAACAGAAAACTAGTAAACCAAATCCAGCAACGTACAGGAAGGGTCGTACACCACGACCAAGTGGCTTTACGCCAGGCAGGCATCACAGCACACATTGGCCATGCGTGGCTGATCGTGTTAAGTAGAATGAACAAGTACGTTCCTAGGTTGCCCAGGAGCCCTGGTGGCGCAGTGGTTAAGAGCTCGGCTGCTAACCAAAAGGTCGGCAGTTGAAATCCACCAGCCGCTCCTTGGAAACTCTATGAGGCAGTTCTACTCTGTCCTACAGGGTTGCTATGAGTTGGAATCAACTCAACAGCAATGGCAAAACCACATTTGGGTGTTCAATATCCACATGTAGCTAGTGGCTACTGTATTGGGCAGCGCAAATAAAGAGCATGCCCATCATTCCAGAACATTCTCATGGACAGTGCTGGTTTAGACCCTGTCTGCTCAGTTGCTTCGCAGGCCTCCCAGAGCCACCTCATCTACCTGCAGGTGGCCGGGGGCCCGAGCCCCACCCCCACTGGGCAACAGGTGTTGGACATCGACAGCTACCTGGACTCGTCTGTGCTGGACAGCTCCTTCCTCACCTTCTCAGGGCTCCGTGCTGAGGTGACGGCTTGACTGGGGCCCAGGGAACCCTGGGCTGGGTGGGTCCTGCTGCCTCTGGACAGCCCAGAGTCTGAGGCCCTCTTTGTATTTCTGAACAGGTCTTTGCTGAACAAATGAGAAATGACTTATTTCTGGATGATTCTAAAAGGTGGGGCCCTAGGGAATATGTGCACTTTGCTGTGGGCTGTGGGGTCCGGGCTGCGTGGACCCTCCTAGTGGTGGCCGGGTCTTGGGTCTCGTCACACGGTCCCAGGACACACGTCTGTCCATGATGGGACTCGGGTCTGTGCGCATGCAGGCCTGTGCCCCAGGCCCCCTCGCTGACCTTTGTCCCTTTCCAGCCTGGTGTGCTGGCCATCCAGTGAGGGCTCGCTCAGCTGGCCAGACCTACTCAGCGACCCAGCCATCATGGGCAGCACCCTGCAACGGCTGGCTCGGGGCCTGCCAGGCCGCATGCTGGGCCTGGAGGAGGACGGGCTCTCCCTGGTCAGCCCCTCCTCACCCGCCAAATACTTCTCGGCTTCAGGTGAGCAGGGTAGGGGAGGTGGGGTGGTGGCTGCACTGACGGGCTCCCCACTGAGGCCGACCCCCCACCAACTGCTCCCTCCAGATGAAGACCTGATCCGCCAGATCCTGGCAGAAGGAGCCAGCAGCCTGGCGCCCACCCAGGACACCCAGGTGGACACGGACCTGCTCGCCAGCCTGTGAGTGCCTGGCCCTGGTGGGGGACAGGGAGGTGGGGCTCCTGGTGTCGCCATGCACGGCGAACCCTGCTTTGGCCTGGCTCTCCCAACTCTGTCCTGTGTGCTGGCTGGGGCCAGGTCACAGCCTTGCTGAGCCTCTGGCCCCTCATCTGGGGAAAGGACAACACCGGCCTCTGCCCTTCAGAGAGTAGTGAGTGCGCAGGGTGTGCGAGGCTGAGGCCTCACAAGGTCCACCCGTGCTGTGGCACGCTTCAGGACACCGTTTCTCTTCGTGGCTGGGTAGCATCCCGCTGTGTCCCTGCATAGACCACGTTCTGTGTATCCATCACCTGTCGATGGACATCTTAGTTGTTCCCACCTTTTGGCTCTTGTGGAAGGTGTTGTGGTGAATACTGGTGTGCAGGTCTCTGTCTGCATTTCCACCTTCGCTTCTTCTGGGTACGTTCCTAGCGTTGGGATTGCTGGGTCCTGGGATGGTTCTTTGTTCAACTTTTTGAGGAACCACCAAACTGTTTTTCCACCGTGACTGTCCCTCGTGAATTTATATTCCCATTAGCAGCGGATGAGGGTATCTGGGTTCCTTCTTGACTCCTCTTTTCGTATTATTTCTCATGCAAGCTCCCCACAGATCTGTCCACTCCTTCCAGAACGATCCACAATGCTGCTTCTGTCTGCCTGCACCTCTGCACTTTCCAACCACAAGTCATCCCTGGCCTGGACTATTTCGGGGCCCTTGGGGTCTCGGCTCCACTCCTCTACATTCTCTGCCAACACGAGAGAGCCTGTTCCCTGCTGTGAGACAGGTCGCGTTGCTGCTTACCAGGACTCTGGTTATCTATTGCTGCAAACCAGAGAGCACCCCCAAACTCAACAATCAGGTGCCGGGAGGCCTCTGTTCCTCCCCACGTGGCCTCTCCACAGCGCTGCTTGAGTGTCCTCGCAATGTGGCACCTGGCATCCCCCAGACTGAGTGACCCAAGAGAGCAAGGCAGAGGCCGCATGGCCTTTTATGACCCAGCCTCATTAGTCACACGCCATCATTTCTGCAGCGTCCTCTTGGCAACTGTGGTGTTGTTAGCTGCCATCAAGTTGGCCCCCAGCTCATGGTAACTCCACGCACAATGGAACAAAATGTGGTGCCGTCCCAGGATGGGTTGCAGACCAGACCGTTGTGATCCGTAGGGTTTTCATGGGCTGGTTTTTAGAAGTAGGTCACCAGGCCTCTCTTTCTAGTCTGTCTGACTCTAGAAGCTCTGCTGAAACCTGTTCAGCATCCTAGCAACACACAGGCCTCCACTGACAGACGGGTGGTGGCTGCACATGAGGTGTCCTGTCTGGGAACTGAACCTGGGTTTCCTGCGTGGAAGGCGAGAAGTCTACAGTTGAACCATGCTGCCCCCATAAATAATTTCTCGTATTTTTATAGTAGAAAAGTCCGTTTCAAGAGAGAAACGTGTGTCCCTCACATACATCTGGTGCTTTCTCTGCTCCCGTCTCAGCGTAGAGCCTCTTACCGTCTAGGAGACACTCAGCCCAGATGGGCACGCGGATGGGCTCGGGCTGCTCTCTCCAGGTGCCAGCAGGGATGCCCCGCAAGCGCTTCCTCCGTGGCGTGGCATGGCCCTCTCTTTCCTCTTCCCCTTCCTGTGCTGTTGTCGCTTCCTTTCCTCCTTTCTCACTCTCGTTTCCTCTCGCTCCTGCAGCTTCTCCTCCTCTGTAGCGTAGCAGCTCTGGAATTGGGACGGTCAGGGTGGCACAAAGGGTTGCAAAGATGCCTTGGACCCGTGACGACACCTTCTGAGCAGCTCTCTGGGTCCCCCGGAACCCTGTACTGTTGGAGTTTGAGAGACGTACAAAAGTTACTTTGATCTCAGTCTACGGAATTGCACGGAGCACGATGCACTTGTGTAGAATGTGTGTATGTGGGGGCGGGGCGGGGGCTGAGGCATGGAAGGTTCTAGACACTGTGTGGACAGTGCCTTGGCTGCTGGGGGGGCAGCAGGGCACAGTGGCTGGGCAGTGAGAGGCAGTGGCTGCCCATCTCCTGGGACAAGGACCCAAGGGGTGGCCAGGCAGGAGAAGGGTATGAACGGGTCGCAGATGCAGGATGTGGCGGCCAGCACCAGCAGGAAGTGAGCGGGGAGAGTAGCAGAAGCGAACACGGCTTTCCCCAAGCCACCGGGTGGCCACGTGCCCTGCATTTCCAGCCCCACACCCACCCTGGTCTGAGGTGGAGCCTGCCCTCCCTGGGTCCCAGGAAGGAGTAGGCGGTGGTGACGCTCACCCCACTGAGGGCAGAGTAGTCACAGCCCCCCCGTGCGCAGGTCCAGTGCTCCTGGAGAGAGGACCGAGGCACCGATGCTGCACAGACGCGAGGATAAAGGACCACCTGCCCCGGGCCTGGGGTGGGATGAGCCCTCCTCGGCCAAGCTCTGCTGCACAGGTAGGCCCTTGGGTCAGACGCGCCTGCACACCCCTTGCCTCTGGCCGCCGGTCATAGGCTGTCTCCCTTCCAGGCCTGGTGGAGGGTCCGCGGAAGCGCCTGCTGCCGGCTTGGTGCGCCCGCCTGGCCCACGGGCTTAGCCTGCTCCTGGTGGCGCTGTCTGTGGGCCTCTCGGGCTGGGTTGGTGCTGGCTTCCCCCCCAGCGTCAGCGTCATGTGGCTGCTGTCCAGCAGCTCCAGCCTCCTTGCTTCGTTCCTGGGCTGGGAACCACTCAAGGTGAGTGGGCTGGGGGCCTCAGCCCCTCCAACACCCCCCTGCACTGGCCCTCTGATGCCCCCCAGTGCCGGCCCTCGGATGCCCCCCACACCGGCCCCGCCAGAGGTCCCCCCACACCGACCTCCCAAGGTCCCCCCCGCGCCAGCCTCCCAAGGTCCCCCCCACACTGACCCTCCGACGCCCCCCTGCGCCAGTCCCCCGAGGTCCCCCCGCGCCGACCTTCCGATGCCCCCCTGCGCCGGCCCCCCCTGATGCCGCCCCCCCAGGTCCTGCTGGAGGCCCTGTACTTCTCGCTGGTGGCCAAGCGGCTGCACCCCGACGAGGACGACACGCTGGTGGAGAGCCCAGCCGTGACGCCCGTGAGCGAGCGTGTGCCCCGCGTTCGGCCCCCGCACGGCTTTGCACTCTTCCTGGCCAAGGAGGAGGCCCGCAAGGTCAAGAGGCTGCACCGGGTGCTGCAGGTGAGCCCGGCCGCTGCTGCCCGGCCTCCCTGCCGGTGCCCGCCCACCCACGCCCACAGCTGCCTGTCGGTCCCCTTTCCGGAAACCCTGCATGCCCCTTTTCTGACCACAGAGGGCCCTTCGGTGGGTGTCCGAGGTCCTAGTCCTGGTCCAGGTCCCCTCATCACAATGCCTGTACCCGTGTGCCTCCAGGCAGAGAAACTGAGTGTCTGTGTTGCCCTCCTTCATCTCAGAGCCCTGGCCACGGGCAGTCTGTTGCCGGCCATCCCAGGAAGACCTGGCCTGTGACGGTGGGACAGCTGGGTGGGTCTGGGGGCACCGCAGGTCCCTGTGGGCTGAGGACAGGCCCCTGCTTCCCCAGAACCTCCTGGTGTACATGCTTTTCCTGCTGGTGACGCTGCTGGCCAACTACGGGGACGCCTCGTGCCACGGCCATGCCTACCGCCTGCAGAGCGCCATCAAGCAGGAGCTGGACAGCCAAGCCTTCCTGGCCATCACCCGGTACAAGGCCCTGCCCACCGTGGCCTGCCTCTGTGTGGCCCTGGGCTCTCAGCCCAGCAGCTCTGCCCCAGGGGACACTGGGCAGTGTCTGGGGACATCACTGGTTGTCAGGACGGGGTGGGGGCTGCTGGCAGTGAGTGGTGGAGGCCTGGGATGCAGCCCCACCAGAGACCAAGCCGGCCCAATTGTCGGGGTCGAGGGAGGAGCCCGGCGCACCTCATCCCCTCCAGCAGTGGCACCCACCTTCCTTGTGCATGGGGCCTCCGAGCCCTGGTTGGGCCTGGGAGCTGCAGGTAAGAGCGGTGACGGTCTTGTCCTGGCAGTTCGGACGAGTTCTGGCCATGGATGTCCCACGTGCTCCTCCCCTACATCCATGGGAACCAGTCCAGCCCCGAGCTGGGGCCCCCGCGGCTGCGGCAGGTGCGGCTGCAGGAAGGTGAGCAGGGGGTGCGCCCGGCGCCTCTCCTGGGCTGTAAGTCAGTTCTGCCCCAGCCCGTGACCCTGGCCCGCTCTCTGCCGCGGTTTTCTTGCCTGCAAGGTAGAGATAATGACGTCACCTGATTGGTTGCTAGATGGGTTATGGGAGCTTGAGAGTGAGCGGGGCACAGCTCAGGCTCTGGAGAACCCTGCCCGCATGACCTTCTCGTTTCAGCTCCCTGCCCAGAGCCCCCAGGCTCAGGCACCCGCCCCTGCTCAGCCACAGGGGACTTCAGCACCAGTGACTACGGTGTTGGCTGGGAGCACGCTGCCCGCAACAGCTCCGGGACGTGGGCCTACTCGGCACCCGACCTGTTAGGGTGAGCAGCACAGTGACGCCCCACCCCCTGGAGAGGGGAGGAGGGTGCCCCAGCAGCATGTCTCCAACACTGACCCCCTGCAGAGTCTGGCACTGGGGTGCCTGCGCCGTGTACGACAGCGGGGGCTACATGCAGGAGCTGGGGCTGAACCTGGAGGAGAGCCGTGCACAACTGGACTTCCTGCAGCGGCACGGCTGGGTGGACAACAGGTGGGGCTGCCCCCAGCACTCCCACAGGTCTCTCCGCCCACACACGCCTCAGACCATGGCTCCCGTTCCCACCCCTGCAGACTCAAGTCAACCCAGCACCCTCCTCTCTCCTCTTCATCTCCAGAATTAGCTCCCCGCCCACCACCAGGCACCCTCCCCCGACCTCTGCTCCCCGAGTTCACCCACTCATCGGAATGTAGCCTCCATCCAGGGTCTCCTCCCTGGTGAATCTCCTCCCCTCACTCCCTCCCGCAGGAGCCGCGCCGTGTTTGTGGAGCTCATGCGCTACAGCCCGGCCGTGGGGCTGCACGCCGCCGTCACACTGCGCCTCGAGTTCCCTGGGGCCGGCCAGGCAGTGGCCTCCCTCAGCGTCCGTCCCTTCACCCTGCAGCGCCTTAGCACAGGCCTGTCTCTGCAGCTGCTCACCTCGGTGAGCCTCGCCCTGTCCTGGAGGCTCTGCCCCTCAGGAAAGAACCGCCCCCCCCCACCACCACCCGTCCCTCCGTGGCCATACTGAGCCCCATCTGTCCGCCTGCAGGTGAGCCTTCTACTGTTCGCACTGCACTTCTTGGCGGCCGAGGCCCGGGCGTGGAGGAGAGAGGGGCGCAGGCGCGTGGTGAGGCCTGGGGCCTGGGTGCGAGGGCTGCTGGCTGTGCTGGCGGCCGCCGCGGCGCTCGTGCGCCTGGCCCAGCTGGGTGCTGCTGACCGCCAGTGGGCCCGCTTCGTGGGTGGTCGCCTGCGCCACTTCATCAGCTTTGAGCAGGTGGCACAGCTGAGCACTGTGGCCCGCGGCCTGGCCGCATCGCTGCTCTTCGTGCTCCTGGTCAAGGTGAGCTGGGTGGGGATGGGGGCAGCGCGTGCCTGCCCACGCCCCAGGCTGACCCTCTGCCCGCCCGCAGGCTGCCCAGCAGCTGCGCTTCGTGCGCCAGTGGTCGGTTTTTGGCAAGACGCTGTGCCGGGCCCTGCCAGAGCTCGTGGGTGCAGTCGTGGCCCTGGTGGTGCTCGCCGTGGCCTACACCCAGCTGGCCGTTCTGGTGGGTGCCGGGTGCTGCCTAGGGGGTGGCGGGTGGTGTGCAGGCCAGCCCTCACTCAGGCCTTCCCTGCAGCTGGTCTCCTCCGGCGCAGAAACACTGCGCAGTGCTGCCCGGGCCCCGCTGGTGCTGTGCCCCATGGTGGGGGGCCCCGCCCTGTGCCTGGCCGAGCCTTGGCGCCTGCCGCCGCTGCTGTGCACGGGGCTCTGGGCGCTGCGTCTGTGGGGTGCCCTGCGGCTGGGTGCCATCCTTCTACGCTGGCACTACCACGCCCTGCACGGTGAGCTCTACCGGCCGGCCTGGGAGCCGCAAGACTACGAGATGGTGGAGCTGTTCGTGCGCCGGCTGCGCCTCTGGATGGGCTTTAGTAAGGTCAAGGAGGTGGGTACGGCCCAGGGGGGGAGAGGGACGCGCCCTGGGCCCCGGCGAGCCCAGGGTGCAGCCGGACTGACCGAGCCCCTGTGCCGCCCCCAGTTCCGCCACAAAGTCCGCTTCGAGGGCATGGAGCCACTGCCCTCACGCTCGTCCAGGGACTCCAAGTCATCCCCTGATGCGCCCCCGCCCAGCGCTGGCTCAGATGCCTCGCGCCCCTCCACCTCCTCCAGCCAGCTGGACGTGGGCCTGGTCCGGCCGGGGCTGCGGGGGGAGCCCGAGCCCTCCCGCCTGCATGCCGTCTTCGAGGCCCTTCTGGCCCAGTTTGACCGACTCAACCAGGCCACCGAGGACGTGTACCAGCTGGAGCGGCGGCTGCAGGGCCTACGCGGCCGCAGGGGCAACAGGCCCCCCGCTTCACCTCCTCCTGGCCCCCGGCCAGCTCTGCCCGGCCGCCTGGCCCGGGCCAGCCGAGGCATTGGCCTGGCCACAGGCCCCAGCAAAGTGTCCCTGTGGGCCAAGAACAAGGTGCGCCCCAGCAGCACTTAGCAGGGCCTGCCTGCCCAGGCCCTGGAGGACACCGCTCAGTATTACCTTCTGCTGCCTTCAAGGCTCCGGGCCAGGCAGAAGCCGCTGCATGCAGGTCCCACAGAGAGAAGCTAGAGCTTGTCTGTGGGCGTCAGCACTTTAACGCGGCTGCACAGGCAGCCAGGACCAGGGTCCCCTCCCCACACTGCGGGAGGACACAGCAGTATTGGACCAAGTAAGCGCCCAGCCTCTGGGCGCCGACTTACTCCCAGTCCTCAGGTACAGGTGCAGCGGGCTGTGCCCGGCCCGGCGATGGCTCCCCTGCACCCCCTTCTCCTCCCCTAAGTTATTGCCCTCCTGCCCCGCTGCGCGCTCGCCAACCTCCGTTTGCCGGCGGTAATTTATATGGGGTGGCTGTGTATTTTTGTACGTGGCTATTTCACTCGGGCTGAGGCCCGCGGTTGCCCGTGTTGCAGCGGGAGCCGACCGCAGCGCCATCTCCCCCTCGGTACCTGCCCACGCAGGGCTGGCCTCGGCAGGTGTAGGCGGGCGCCGGGGACGTGACGCTGCTTCTAGGATCCGAGTCGGGCCCTGGGCAGGTGCTGGGATGTTGGCCGGAGGGGGACAGCTGCTCCATCACGGCGACTTTGTCCCCACTGGCACGAGGATGCAAGGAAGGCCGTGACCCAGGCCTGCTGGCGTTGGTGTGTCCCGAAGCAGGACGAGGACGCGGTGGGAGGGTCCGCGAGCGGGAAAGGCCTGCCCCGGGGCCGGCTCCCGGGGAGCAAGGCGACAGTGCACGCGAGAACGTGTTGGGGCCCCTCCTCGGAGCTGCTACGCCTGTGCCAGAACCTCGTGCCACCTCTGTGGGCACGGCCGCAGCTACAGCCTTGACCCCCATCCCCCCACAAAACAGACAAAGTCAAATAAATGATTTGGCTGACTGCTACCTGTGTGTCCGTCTGTCTGAGTACAGGGCAGGTGGGCACAGCGGGCTGCATGGCTCCTTTATTTCATTCACACACGATAAGCATCTGGGCCATGTGGGGGCGGGAGACTCAAGTGGCCATAAGGCACCCAGGGTGGCCCGTAAGGTGTCTCATCAGCCCTGACAGGACCAGGCGTCCGCCCCAGTATCACACAAATTCCGTGAAGTCATCCACTGAGGAGATGAGGCGCTTCCTCTGGCCGGTCTCATAGGCGGGTGTGGGCTCGGCTGGGGCCTTGCCGTGCGCCGGAGGGTGCACGTGCACCAGGGGCAGGCTGGGGTTCAGGTAATGGGCTTCCTCCCGGATCTGGAGGCACAGGGGTCGACAGGAGCCCAGACAGCACAGGTCCCCGTGGCCTAAGACACTGCTGACGCACCGACCGGGCACCACCCGCCCCAGGAAACCAGCAGGCCCAGGCTCGTGGGCCC